GCTTATGATCTAGAACAAAGATCCACAGGAGCTGAATTTCTGCTTAAAAGAGAATTAATTAATAATTTAAACAGTTTATTACCAGATAAAGTAAAATACATTGTGCATATAATATAGTGTATTATTATTATTATTAAACCAACAAATGACAAATCCACTCATTAATTATAGTCATATTCATTGTTAATAAATATAAATAACACTAATTAGCAGTTTTTAAACCTTAGTGTGAAGGTTTTAAGGTAATTTAGAGGCCAGAAGAAGATCAATCACACGAGTGGAGCGTCTCGGCGTCCACATACTTTTGGCCGTGTGTTTAACGTGAGTCTCGAGGACCCGGTCTCCGGTCACGTGGGTCCTTTTCAGTCTTTCAGTGTCTGGAGGGAACTTTTTTTTTTTAATAATCGTTCCTTCAAATGAGTCATTTGTGTCCCGAAATTACAAACCGGTCGTGGGATTCATCACTCGGGACTCTTTATTTAGTGCCTTACTTTCATATATTGGACCATTGAATCACTTCATTCATTCCCTCGCATTAATAATTCAATAATTCAGTTCAATAATTAATATTGTTATCAGCGTTACCCCCCCGGACACCTTCACTTTGGACCACTTGGATTAAGTTTAACTTTGTTGAAACTCTGATTGGATGTTTCTCACAGAAATGCTCTCTGGGACTCGTAGTCAACTCTTCTCCTCGACTCTCTTCTTAATCAATGAAGCAGAACCAAAAGCTTCTCTTTGTTTTATGATTAATGATGTTTATCTGAGGAGGATTATAATGATTCCTGTTTTTTATATGTCACGTGTTGCTTCTAGTCTGCAGATTTCCTGAACTCCTGTTGGAGGAAACAAACATTTTAAATGACAGAAATTAATAAAACATAAGAATCAATCAATTTTCCCAATTAATTGTTAGGTTTGTTTGTCTATGTGACAAGCCTGTACTTTATTATTTTTATAGAAGTTGTAGTAAAGAAGTACACAGATGATCTAAAAATACTTCAAAATATTAAGTTCAGAATGTTTTTAAACCTATAAGTAGTTGTTAACTGGTTATTAAAGAGTATATAGTTAATACTGATGCCTCTATACGACCTACATAAACAGACATAAGAGAGAATATTTGATATTTCTGTATAACTATTTATATTAATTATATTAAACTCTTCCAACTGGGTCGGTTTCCCCTTAAAATCAATGAAACACTACCACTTTTGTCCACAGAGGGCGCCACCATCAACCTCCCGACCAACGATATGATAATCCAGTCAAATATATATATTTTATCTTTAATAATATTTTATCCATTAATATATCAACCCTTCATATACAATTAAATCTCTCTTTGAGAGGTTGGTCGTGTTTGATGCTCGGTGGGAAGAGAGCAGGTTTCTGGGGCTTTATAAGAAAAGATGAGATATATATATATATATATATATATATATATATAAAGAGATCAATAACGTGGAGAAAGTGACTGAAGTCGCTGAGTGAGGAATTAAAAAAAGAGCTTCAGAGAGAAGTTCTGACTCTGCTCACTTCCTCAGACCCAAAGTCCAACATCTGAGAGGTGAGACCCTTCGTTTGATGCATACTGAGGACATAAATGTTTGTTTTCCATCCACAGAGTAAACTGATTATTTCACATTATATTCAATAATAACAAAAACTGCAGGATGTTTGTGTAAAATTAGCTCAAATTATTTGCTGTGAATATGGATCAGATGAGTTTTCCTGATGTTTTTAATCACTTTTATACAATTTTCTGTTTCTGTTTTTATGTATTTTAACAATCATACAGACTTAATAAGCTTATTTTTGGACAGATTCACTGTTTTCTCCTCATGTTTCTATCAGCTCTTTGGTTGTCTTCTAAAGCAGGACGACGCTGTTGATCAGAAACTGAAGCTCTGTCAATATAACTTGTGTTTATATCTTAAAAATAAGAAGAAATTAAAAAACATGTCAATATATATATAAAACAGAACTTTCCAGAAACTAACCCCACCCAGTTTATTGTTGTAGTTTTAGGTTAGTTTGTACAATCAGGGTTTTCCTTCTGTGATATTATTCCTCATCAGTTTGGGAAAAACTCTGTTTTAAAGTCAACAAACAATATACAGTAATTTGTGAAAGGTAATCCCACGCGATCTGGTATCAATACTGCGCCGGTTATTGCAACCGTAAGCTGCACAGAATACGGGCGTAGTGACTCGGATTGACTCCGGTGCTACCGTGGAGCGAGGAGACCCTCGGCGGCGACGCTGGATATGAGGCGTCTGCGTATATTATGTTTATGACGCAGACGGATGGATGGTAACTGTAATATTGTTCCTGAAATCTCACAATAAAGTGATTTTTAATAAATATAATTGAGAATGTGTTGAATTATTTCTTTCAACAGCCATCAAAATCAAATTAAAGCAGTTTTAACAGTTTTGTTTTTATTGCCTTCACATGTTGCATAATCCTTTAATAAATATAATCAGACAGATATTAATAATAAAGATAATAAACAGAGTGCACGAGAGGGAGGCTGGGGGAAAAATTAAAGGGCAGATTAAAGTGTAAAACAAAATCCCCTTTATCCATCATACAGTATCTTTATTTATTATTTGTATTTGTTTCTATCTACTGGGTTTATTGTGTAAACTTCAACATGAAGCATCTGAGTGAGAGAAAATAAAGAGTAACATTCACTGTTCATATGACAAAAATATAATGATTACCAAAAGGTACAAAAATTAAGAATTTGCACATTTAATTTCCTGAAGATAAAAGCAAATGATAATTGAAACATGGAACAACAGCAGATAATCTTCTTTTTATATCAAGCAGGAGCACAAAAACAGAGAATTGGGATTTAAAATATCCTGAGAATGCCACTAAAACAACCTCACAATGCAACTCTAACCTACTGCAGAAAATAAATGTACTAACGTGTAATCTGAACAGAAATGCTGACTTGTACCAAGGTTTAAGATGACGTGTGCTGCAGTGTATATAATATTTTGATCAGGAATGTAAATGAAGGGTGTGTGAACGCTGGCACATGAGCCGCAGTACGCCCATCAAACCTCCCATTTCTGTGATCTTGATGTCTCTGTAATTAACCAAAAGTACAAACTGCTATTTACAGAGACCTTGATTAGCATGGGAGCAAAGTATCTACAGTAAATATTGCTCAGAAATGTCAAGCAAAAGAGACAATAAATCCTCTTACAGACTGTTGTTCAAAACATCCTGAAGAAACATACAGATACTCAGAAATGGATAGCAGTGTAATGGATTAACAGATGTTTCTATTCAATGTTTCTAAAATGTAAATATTACTGGAGGAATATCCGTCAATCAGGGATTATTTTAAGAAGGTTTCGGTTTTACGACGTACTGAATCTTGTTTTCCCGTCACATTGGCACAAATGGGCTTCCGTAGAAATCTCATTACATTCACTCAAGTAGAGTTTTGAGGTATTTCTACTTATACAGAACAACACAGATCTGACCATAATAACAGTATATATATAGATCAATATATGACTATCTGTGTTTATTTAAAAGTCATAAAGCCTCCTGAACATTTTCTATGTGAAGGAACCCACAAAATAAAACACATTGGACCCCAAATTTTAAAGGATTTTGTTTTAAATCTGAGTATATTTTAATTATTTTGTTTCCATAAGTATGTGATAAACCCACTGAAGGACCCCTGCCTACAGGTACTGTGTTCATTTACTATAATAATCTCCTTATCAAGTTATTGTTTATTTTTAAATATTATATTCTTAAAGCCTGAAGTTGTTGGAAGCATTTTCTAAAATAAATCTTCATTTTTATTGTTTCCGGTCAACTTTACTCGCCTCAGACAACAATAAAACAAAATCTAGACAAAAAATAAATAAATATTTCCTAATGAATTTCAGGTTTCAGGTTGTACTGTCGTTACAGTAACAGACACACATCACTCCACTTCAAACTGTAGACTCCATTTTGTTACATTCCCCCCTGCTGTCGCTGCTCCGCGGTGGCGGGAAAAGTGAACCAAGCCTGAGCTCGAGCCACGTCACGTGCCGCTTCCCGCCTGTAGGTGGCGCTCAGAGCGCGAGAGACGGCTGCTTCCCGCCTCTCTGTGGCAGGACGGAGCTGGGAGAGAGAGAGGGAGAGGAGAGAGAGGGAGAGAGAGAGGGAGGGAGACATGATTAAAGGAGAGAGGGAGAGAGGGAGGTAGAAACATTTATTTACTGTATGTATGTGTGGAAACGGAGGGAGAGAAATCCGACAGTTAGGGGGGGTTTGACCGCGTGAACCAAAGAGTGCGGCGGCGGATAAGTATCCTACCAGAGAGTGTGTGAACGCTTTTTTTTTTAACCCCGTTTAATATAAGGTGATGAACGGCAGATATATGATAAAATAAATGGCAGAAAATGTTCACAAAGAGTTAGTTGTTGGGATGGATGCCCCCCTCCCTCCCTCCTGCTCTCTCCTCTTGGTGTAGTGTGTGTGTGTGTGTGGGGGGGGGCTTGGTAGAGACCGACAGAGATGAATAGAGGTAGAAACATTTATTTACTGTATATGTGTGGAAATGTTGGGAGATAAATCGGACAGTTGGTGGTTTGACCGCATGAATCAAAGAGTGCGGCGGCGGATAAGTGTCTAATAAAAGTGTGTGTGAGCATTTTTAATCCCCTTTTTTTATGTTTAATTTAAGGTGATGGAGACTCGGACTTGTGACTCCGAGCCTCACTCTGCCGCATACAGTCGGTATAGCGCACAAGCACCGGCTCCGGTTGTTCACAAACGGGGGGAAAAAACGACAGAAAATGTTGGGAAATCCACGAAGTTGCCCCCCTCCCTCCCCTCAGTATAGTGTATTGTAAGGGAGAGGAGAGGGGAGGGAGGGAGGGAGGGAGGGGGGAATGCTTGGTAGAGAGAGAGAGAGAGAGAGCGAGCAAGCAAGAGAGAGAGAGAGAGAGGGAGGGAAGCGCGAGCGCAGCCGTTTGGAATCACTCCACTTTCTCATCACACACAGTGCAGCCGCGCGACCTGCTCCGTGCTGGACCGGGAGGAGGACAGAGTTTGAGGCGGCAGAGCAGCGACCGCGCGTCGGGGTTGGAAACTAACCGGACGACCGCTGCTGGCAACTCCTACCGGAACTAGTGTTTTCTTGCTTTGGGTGATTTTTAAACCGTTTTTATCTTTTTTTTTTTTTTTTCTCTTATCCTTCCTCCCCTCCCAGTCCCGGTGCTCCGTCCACCATACATCCACCACCTCCACCCCCGATCAGCGGAGGATGCTGTTGCTGCTGCCCGCTGGTAACGCCCGTTCACGGAGTAGCAGTGAGTGACCCGCGGTCCGGCTGGCAGCTCCAGCCGCTCCACCCCCCGGAGAGAGGAAGGGACCTCCGGGTTGACGCGCAGCGCTGGTCACGACAGTAAAACTGGACATAAAATTGTGAGAGGATCCGGAGGAATAATTACCCCCCGCCCGGCCGACTGGATTGTTTGATTTGTTTTACGGTGTCCCTTTTTCGGCGTGGATTGTTAATTAATTTCGGGGCTTTTTTTTTTTTTTTTTCCCGGAGCGGCTCCGCCTGGGTACCGAGGAGGAGCGGAGCCTATAGCCGGGCTTGGAGCGCTCAGAGCTGGGGAACCGCGCGGCTCTCACCCGGTCCAGGTAGGAACTTCTCTCCACAGACCACACACAAATGATAACCCCCTATATATCTTTACATAACACCGTTTTTATGACACATTTTAAACATTTTCCCCGTAAATCCCCCCCTGTCACTGCTGCACTGTAGGAGCCGCTTTACGCACCATAAATAAGAGTAAATCCACTTTATTTCCACCTGGATGAGCTCTTACACATTCATTAAAAACAAAAAACACTCGATGTTGCATAAATCTCTTGCGACCATCGAGCTTTTTAAAAACACTTGTTGGTGAAATAAATCCATTTTAAATGTTCATATTCTGGAGTCTAATCTCGCCTGATGGGGTGCTTTACCTATATTACACTACAGTGCCATTGATCCGTATCGATCCCCTCCGTCCTCAACATTACCTCCATGTCTGTCAGTAATAAAATACCCGCTTCCTGTGGGTCACTCATGGGTTTCCTAACCCCAATGCAGAGCTCCCTATAGTGCATACAGGGAGCCTCACCACGGTGGGGGGGGGGTTCATTATGGATCCAAGAGTTCTGCAGGGAAGGTCGGTGCTATAGAGGAGAATATAAAATCATCATTATAATCAGAGGTTTGTCTTCCCACTGTAATATTAGAGCTAATCTGCCTTCAGGGACTCTTCTGGGGGGGGGCAACAATACAACAGGCCATTCATCAGCTCATAAACCAGTCACACAACCGAGACAGCGAACGCCTCTCAACATATCTGTTTCTCACCCAGCACCTGAGGCCTCCTGGGCACCTGTAGCTTCACATTTAACCCCCCCCCTCCACCACCACCCTGCCACCAGTATCTTCTGCTGTATGTGTGCTGTTGACGTGAGCTTAAATCCAAATAAAGGCGGGGGAGTTTCAGTGTAAAGGTGAGGGAGAGAGGGGAAGGGGGGGGGAGGCAGGGGATGGTGATTATCCGCCACAGCCACCGAGCAAAGCACGCGTCACCACCGGGGAATCCAGTCCGTCCAGTCCGTCCAGCTTCCTCCTTCCCTCTGCTGCTGTGGAGGGAGAGAGGATGGGTGTTCGACCTGCTCTCTGAGAGAGAGAGAGAGAGAGGGAGGGAGAAAGAGGGAGGGGGGGAGTCGGGTATTTACATGCAAACTGCATCTGCCTTTCTCTGACAGAGAGTGAGCTGTAGTAGTAGACCGCCGCCGCCGCTGCCGCCGCCGTCCCATGTGAACGTTCTGGTGATGTTTCCCCGAAGTGCATCATGGGGGAAACAGACGTGTGTTTTCTGGTGCTTCACATGACCTTTGACCCCCGTTCCCCTAATTCCCCCCCCGTCGCCTCGCTCTCTGATGTTATAACGGAGCTGAAAACCTGAGAGCTCGCCGCAGTCACAGACGGCCTTAACGGGGAGAGACTCCTTCGAGGTTCAGACTGCGGTTGTTGGTCAGTGCGTCTCCCCCCCCCTCAGGTGCATTACACCGGCCCACTGTTGGGAGGGGGGGGGGGTGATACTCTCTCTGAGGTTTGTGGCCAGGTTTTAGACGGCGAGCCCTGCCGTCACCCGAGCTCCTGTCCACCGCCGCCGCCGCCACCGGGGGCGAGGTCTGAGGTTTGGGATTCCTCTCTGCCGTCTCTAATTTGGAGGCACATCCGTCCAAATGTAACCAGAAATGTCACGGCCATCCACGGCTCTGTGGGGTGGGGGGTGGGGGTGGGGGGTAGAGGATTAGTCAGTGGGGAGAGGAAGAGGAGGAGGAGGAGGAGGTCGAACACGCCTTGCACATTTCTGCGTATAAAATTGGAGATCTGAGCACGCCGTGTTGTTAATGCCCGTCATTAAAACGGGAGCTGGGAGAGTGGGACACACACACACACACACTCACACACACACACACACACACACACACACACACACACACACACACACACACACTCACTCTGCAGAAGAAGAAGAGGCGTCCACGTGTCTGATTTAAAGAGTTTTTATGGCCGGTTTCAGGCGTGACGACAAGATCACGAAGGAAAAGCCGAAAACTCGCCGTAGAGTTTCGGAGAGAGCCGATCGATTTTAATCGTCAGGATCTGAAAGGATTCGTTTCTTCTTCTGTGGTTTATTATACTACATTTAGACGATTTATCGACCCCTAAAATAATTGCGATAAACGATGTTATCGGCGTTTTATGGCGTGAAGCATGATAAGCATCCATTTTCTTTCATATTCTTTGTACTTTTTTCTGCGTGTTGTTATCTCATAGCAAACAAGTTGAATGTAAATGCATGCGAGAAGCATTAAAGGTGGAGTGACAGTATAAATTAATACTTAAATATTAATTAATTACTTGTGAGTTGCTCATTTAACTTCTATGTAATGTTCATAAAACAGTCTCACTCTCACAATACTTCATTTAATGCCAGTTGTGTGTAGTTTTTTCATGTTTTATGATGTTTTTAAGGTTTATTTTCTTCTGTAAATGTTATTTATTTAACTGTAAAATGCAGCGCTGCGCGATAAGTCGACTCTTCGATCAGCTGTCGGTTATTTTAATTATCCATTAATCGTTTTGAGTCGTTATTTTTCATTAAAAATGTCCAAATTCTGATTTTAGCTTCTCAAATGTGAATATTTTCTGGGTTTTTTTAGTCCTTTTTATGACAGTAAACAGAATATCTTTAGGTTGAGGAACATCTTTCACAGTCTCCTCACGTTTTATGGACCAACCGACTAATCGATTAATGTAGAAAACGATCAATCGCTAATGAAAACAATCAGTACTCGATCACAACCCGATCAGATATCAGCTGATTTATTATCTAAACGTTTAAATATTGATATCTGTGTCGGCCTCTGACGTCCCGTTCTTAGCGCTCTGATCCGCCTGAACTGAGCGCTGTATCCCCCGCGCGCTCTTCGTCGCCACGGTAACAGACGCGGCCGCGGTCTGTTTTCATTTTGTCCCCGTGCTCCTGCCGTAGTCCGACATGTGGAATAAATATGTTGCCGTGGATTTAAAACGGCACTCCGATGACGCCTGATCTTTACTTTCCTACCGGCCTGCTGTTCATCTGCCATCCACTCCCATAATCCCCTTCTGCTGTGTGTGTGTGTGTGTGTGTGTGTGTGTGTGTGTGTGTGTGTGTGTGGGGATCAGAGGTTACACAGCACATCCTGTCTGTCAGTAGAAGGTCACACGTTTGAGCCCGGATCCGGTCGCTCCTGCCCCGGTGCCTCTGAGCAACAGAAAGGACACAGAGCACCGAAACCGGCGGTGAAACCATTAAAACCATTAAAACCGGTGAGTCAGCTCGCGGCCATCTGAAGTTTCCTGTCTGGCAGTAAAACGTCGGTCAGTCATGTGACGCAGCAGCAGAGTCGCATTCTTTTCATTTTCAACCCCCGACAGCTTTTCTCCGTTTACACAAGGCGTGGACGCGTTCACCAGGTGTGACACAGCGCCCTGCAGGTGTGTCCCAGGTGTATAAAGCGGTCAGTGTGTGACAGCCTGAGAGTCACCTGTCTGACAGCTAATGACACAATCAAGTTAATTTTAGAAATTATTAATATTATATATATATATATTATATTATAAGCCTCTCTGAGATCTTGGTGATGCGAGGGCGTTGCAATCAGAAGCTACAGCGCTAATGTGTGTAAATAAAGGCTTCTGTTATCAGTTACTTGAGTAGATATTTATACTTTAGATAGATCTTTATACGTTGGTACTTAAAGATCTGAGTCCTTTAAAGCACATTTATGTTTAATTAAACGCTGTAATAGATAGAATATATAATAGAGAGACTTTTTTCCGGCTTTATCTTTAAGAAATATGACTTTTGCTGCCTCAGAGCCAAAGTGGCACATTTTTAACTAATCTAATCGACTCTCAGATTAAATAAAATAGTGATATAAACTGACTATCAGATCCAATAATGAGTGTTGGGACGAGGTTGAAGCAGGCAGGTGGAGTCAGGAGGCAGAAAGACGCTGGCAACAGGCTGCTGCGTCTGAATAGGGAGGATGTGTGTGTGTGTGTGTGTGCTAATCTGGATCTAACAATGGTAGTGAATGGAGTCATTAGAGTAATCCCCTTTGTGCTGCAGGCGGGGGGGGGACCACACACACACACACACACACACACACACACACACATCGGACTGTCCACGATTCACCTCGACCACGAGCATCCCGTCCTCCTGAGATCTGACAACATCAAAGCATCTTTTGATTTCTGTGAGTGTGAGTGTGTGTGTGTGTGTGTGTGTGTGTGTGTGTGTGTGTGTGCTATATTTAATGCAAGCCAGCTTTGGTATGTGTGCACCACTGGACATTCAGGTTACTGTACACACACACACAGACACACACACACACACACTATTACACACCCTGATTTAAAATACACGCCCGTGAGGCCCGTGGCAGAAACTTTGAGAACTGGCTGCCGGCCGACCGGCTCTACCGCTGCCAGACGTGAGAGAATAGTTGTCATATTTTAATGGTTTGTAATTAGTCCGATGGTGTAATTTATATATCACCACAATTAAAAAGGATTGTTGAACCTGTATCTGTCACACAAACCAGAGTTCACTCAGAAAAAAATGGTTTTCTAATTGGTTTAAATAAACAGCTTTCCTGTGATGTTTCTATACTTAATGAATATTTAAAACCTGAGTTTAAAGCTTATTTTTTAATACTTTACATTAAGGAATAAAAGTTTAATGTGGCGTAAACCTCATCAGCCAGACAAGAGTTTAATCTCAAGGAAACAACCTTCTTAAAGGGAGTCTGGAACTAACTGAACAAATAATAAATTAATAAGATTACAAACTTTTAGATGCTTTGGGCACATTTCACTCTGTAGAAAATGCAGATTATTGATCGGCTGCTGCCTTAATGTGTGTGTGTGTGTGTGGGGGGGGCAGGAAGGGGCAGGGCATGTGTAAAGTGACCAATGAGCTCATTTGTTATGGACACGAGGGAGCTGGTTGTTAGTTGCACCCACTCATCAGACACCAGTTCACCAGGGAGAGCACCACGACGTGCAA